AGGACAGGATGGGGTGGGGAGGGGGTGCGGGGACCCCCCTCGGGGCCAAGGGAGCTAATGGAGGAGTCAGAGGGGAGAGGGCGCCCGTGCCCCAGTACCCCATGGCAGGGTTGGTGGTGCTGTTACTTCTTAAACATATCCTGCAGCGGGCCAGGCAGGTACTTGAGGACTGTGTCCAGGATGCTCTCCTCCTCTTCCTCGTCCTCGTCCCCACAGCCCGCTGGGATCGCCTTCTTAGGGCGTGTCAGGCTGCCCTCACAAGGCTGCTCCAGCGCGGCTTTCTCCTCTGCCTCCTTCTCCTCCTTCTTCTTCAGCCCATACTGCCAGGACACAGGCTCTCAGCAGGGCAGGCAGTGGGTGCTGCCCGCACCGTGCCCTCTGCCCTCTGCCCATCACCACCACCTTGGGCCACCCTCCCCCCTGGCCATACCAGCTCCTTGTCTCAGCCCCACTTCTCCCCTTGCCCACCTTGTCACGGATCTGCTGCCGGACTTTCTCCCTCTCAGCTTCCATGCGGGCGTGCTTGGCTTTCCGCTCCTCCTCCTGCTGGCGCAGGGCTTCCTGCCTCTCCTCTTCCTTCTTCTGCGCATCAGGGTCCTTCTCCTCCTCACCCCCCAGCATCTTCCCCATGTCCTTGGTAGCCCCTGCACAGTACAAGCAACATCAGCTCGTTCCCAACGGTGCTCTAGCCCAGCGCTGGCTGCCAAAGCCCCTGCACAGGTAGGGAGGGTGCGGAGCTCCCTGGCAAGAATGACCCAGGACATCCCGATGGCCACCCGTGCCGGAGCCGGCTGCTGATGGGCTCCGGAGGCTGCGGGGATGGGGAGTGCCATGGGCTGGCTGCGCTGCTCTAGTTAAGCATCAGCCAGGGGAGATGCCGGCAGCTCCTTCTGCACTGGCCCCCAGGGGACCCGCCGGGAAATCCCACTTAGCGGCTGGAGAGCCGGGATTCCCCTGCCAGGCGCTGCCGGTGCCGGGAACAGGAGTCCGGCACAGCTCCGGCAGCAGCTTCCCAACACTGGTGGCTCTCCCCACAGCTCTGTCTCTCCGCCCTGTCCCTCCTGCCATGCCCTCTGGGGTGTCAGACTGGCATTGCTCCCGAAGGGGGGACTCTGAGGGGGACCCTGCACCCACTCACCACCCAGCGCTTGCTTCATGACGAAGTCCATGGTGCCGGTGTGTGTGCGTGGCTAGGCCAGTGCCCAGCGCTCATCCACTGCTGTCCAGGCTCGCCAACCACCTGCGTGGGCAGAGAGGGATACAGCTGGGGACACCATGTCCAGGGTCCCCACTGCCCCGGCATGAGAGATGGGATGATCCCTTGGGCTGCAGAATGCACCTTCTGTGTCTCTACCTTCCAGAATGGACTGAGGGAGCTTTTGGGGTCTGCAGGCAGAGGGGTAGGTAGGTCTGCCTGCTAGCAGGTTGTGACAGTGTTCGGAGGCTGTAGGCAGCAGTGACTGTGTGTGTGATCCCCGTAGGGTGCTGGGGACAGGTGACAGCATGCAGGGCTACGGCATGTGCAGGACGTGCGTGTGTGTGTGTGGACGCAGTGTTTGCCTGCGCTTGTGTGTGAGCCGTATGTGCGGGCTGTGTTTGGCCAAGAGGTGTGTTTGCAGGTGGCTGCGGGCTTTGTTTGCACAGGGAGGGGGCGGTGCGGGTGTAAGTTTGTGGGGCTGCAGGCTGCGTGTGCCCACACGGTGTGCGGGGTTGCAGCCTGTCTGCAAGATCCGAGTCTGCGTGCGGGAGTTCGGGGGTTTGCAAGCTGTGTGGATGTGTGTGCGAGGGTGTGTGTGTGCACAGGGGTTCGCAGGCTGTGTTTGTGTGTGCTGCGTGTGCGCTGCCTGCGTGTGTTTGCACACTCTGGGGGGGTTGCAGGCTGTGTTAGTGTGGGTCATGACAGCAAGAGGGTGCTGTAAGGATCTCTGCAGAAATGATGCCACAAGTTCTCCTGTATTTTTACCATAAAAAATAAGCAAGAACAAACATCTTTAGCCCTAGTGGGTGAACTTATCAAAGAGGCAGAAATTGTGTATAATTGTATTTCTAGTGCCTTGTAACTAACTCCTTGGCATTCACAGGGCTCTATCCTCAGCAGCATAACTCATTCTGGATCCCTCCACATCCATCAATTTATTCCATTTTTGAACAGGTAAGCCTTTAGATTTGATCTGAAGGATCTTCACAAGCTCAAAAAATATTGTAGTTTCAACTTTAACACTTTTCTGTACAAAACCAGAATGTTGGCATGTGTAGTGGTGTGGAAAAAAAACCTAACAAAAGCCCCTGAAGCCTTGTGAAACACAGAAAGGGAAACTATGCTGTGAGCTCTGACAGTAATAAAAACATAACTGGATTGATTCTAGACAATTTATTGAACAAAATTTAGTTAGAGTCTTTTCAGTTTGTTTTGTTTTAACAATTGCTAACCACTTAATTTTTATGAGTTCAATTATGCCTTTAAGGCACATTCCAGCAGAGGGCTGAGGTGAAAAAGCCTCTCCAGGGAGGATACAGCAGAAGAAAAAGCCTCTGGGATGTGCAGGAGTTGAGCTAATCCTTTCTAGGCATATGTTTGGTGTTACCTACTTGCAGCTCTCTCCCTTCCAGGGGAAAAGCATATCTGTGGGTCCATGGCTGTCAAGTTTGAGCCTCCTTCAGCACACTGTGCCCAGGTGTGAAAGGGGGCTGATCCAAACAGTCCTTCAGGAGTAACAGCTGCAGACTTTTTTCTTGAACAAGTTATTCAAGTTTAGGACCTGGCCCCTTAACCACCAGTCCATCAGCAAACCCCAGCTTTCTCAGGAAGGACAGAGATCACGTGCCCCATGTATGCTAAGGCAAGAAAGTTTGTTTTTAAAAACTCTAAGTTGCCCACTCTAGAGAATTTATCATGACTTCAAACATTGAAAATATTAAACTTAGACCTAAGAATTAACTGTTCAACTGACCCAGCCATAACTAACACTGAAGGTCATAAAACCCTTCATGTCCTTCCCTTCCTCAGTGACAGAAAGGGGAAGAAGGGCTGGTGTAAACTTAATTGGGTAGGTGGATGATCGAGCAGGCCTATTTCACTAACCTACTTACCCCACTTCAGCTTAAACTATTTCCTGAAGCAGAGACTAGATCTTTGCCTTTTCAGGAGGTGTTATGCAGCATCAAGCCCCTGGGCTATTGTACCTCAACCTCCTGAGGAACAAGTGCTTCTTCTTCCACTGCACTTTCCAAATGAGATGACTGTACAACTCCTTAGCAGAACAAGCATTCAGTGATGGAGAAAACTCTGGAAATACCATAAAACATTGTTCATAGTATTTGAGATCCTTGAGAAACTTCAAAGAAAATTCCATTAGGTGCTAAAACTACTCCAGTGTTTTAAATGCAGCTTCCCTCTCCTCAGCGCTGTTGGATTCTGAAACCTACACACAGGTTTTTCAGCAAATATGTGGAAGTGCCTGCTTTAAGCCATGAATGCCAAAACATCCCCTCAGACTTCCTTTCAGAAAGAACTTTGCAGTCCTACAATGCAGCATGCACCCCGAGTCTCCCATCCTTGTCCCAGTGCACAGAGATGCTGGGGACAAGGAAGTGCTCCATCGCCAGCTCTGCCACCCTGCAGAGGGGCAGCCGGCGCCTCCTAATTAATCCAGCCCTGGGTTATTAGAAACAAGACGAGCCCTTTGCAAATCAGATTAGTGGTGCTCTGAGCCAGGCTTAGGGGAGAGCTGGTGTTTAATGGTGAGGCTCTAGAGGGGCAGCTCTGCAGGGATGCCCATAGCTACGGCCCAGAAAAGTGCTGGAGAAGGATTGGGTGTGGGGTCGTTTTGGGGACACCACTCCCTGCATGTGGGAGGCTGTGGGGAGCAGGGACAGGCTGCAGTTTGCCCCACAAGCCCTGTGGTGCAGGATGCAGAGATGCTGCTGGTGCGACTGGGCAGTGCAGGGGCTGCCATGGGGAGGATGGAGGGGGGATGTGGGACTTGGGACAGCAGTGGGGAGCAATCCTGCAGCCGTGGGGAGGGCAGACCTGCACCCCGCGTGTGCCAGCCCAGCACCTCTACAGGGACCCAGCACCCGCAGAGCTGCGTGTGTGCACCCACAGTCGCTGCCACGGACAGGTCTTGACACAGGGACACGTTGAGGACATGGCCCTGGTGTTCACTCCCTCTCACCACTCCCCCAAAAAAACACGCACCCCCCAGCACAACCCATTTCCACGACCCCCAAGCCTGCAGCGTCCTACAACTCCTTTTCCTATCTCCAATGAACAAACGCCTTCTGCCCTCATGCCCAGCCCCTGCTTTGCCCACCGGGACCTTGTGGGACAGCGGGACAGGCCTGTGCTCCGTCCGTCTGCCCGTCCGTCTTCCTGCAGCAGCCCCGCTCCGGGCGCTGACGTCAGCGCTCCCGGCAGCCGGGCGGTGGGCGGGCGGCACCGCTCCTATTGTATTAAAAATAATACAGCGGAGCACAAATTCATTACAGATAAGTGTGACAGCCAGGAGGAATTAACGAGCCCGTCTCTCAGCGCCTGACAAACGCCTCCTTTTGTTCCTGGGATGGGTCCTTAAGTCTTTCAATCTTTGGAGATGCTCCGGCTCATTAAGCACATCCTCTTCCCCGGTAGCTACCGGCGGGCCCGGGGACTGCCCCGGTATGAGCTGCGGCCGGGCCGGCAGGGCCGTCCCTTGTGCCATTGCCCAGGGCCAAGCCGGGCTTGCCCTCCTTGGGGCTTGGTGGCCTGGAGTGCTGACCCCCTACGGCAAGTGGGGGGCTGGGGATAGGTGGGCGAAGCAGCCCCCGTCCCTGCTGCCGCAGGAAGCACGAGGCTCCCACCTCTGGCCACCCGCCCCGGTGCTCCAGCCGCCGGTGCCGGCAGCACGACCGCAGCCGCCGGGCTGGCGGGCGCCCAGACCTGCCCTGCCAGCTGGGCTCCCGCAGGAAGGGCAGCCAAGGGCTTCTTACCAGCCCTGGGCATCGTGTCCATCCTCACACACCCCTGGGGACACTGCTGCTCCCAGGATGGGCGCTGGCGACCTCCACACTCCCAGAGCCAAGCTGGCTCTGGCAGGCGTTTGGAGGATGCTCCTGATGTTAGGATATTGCTTGCGCCTGGCACGGGCACTCCTTAGGCACAGCTGTCCCCTGGCATGGTCCTGGGCAGTGTCACCTGCTGGGTCGCTGCCTGGAGCTGATGGGGGAGGCAGAAAGGGAAGGGACTGGCAGGGATGGGAGGGACAGGGGAACAGCTCCGTGGCCAGATGGAGTAGGAAGCTCTCAGTGCTGCCAAGTCCTGCAAGTTGCCTCTGTGCCGGCTCACGGGGGTGGCGTGGCAGGGACAGAACCAGCACGGGTGCCAGGGCCCTGGCAGTACTTTGCTCTGCTCCCTACAGCCCCCAAGGAAAGGACACGGGTCTGGCTGCTGCTGCCACGTCTCTTACTGCATCCACCACCAGCAACAGCCCAAGTGGCATCTGCCCTCCCTGCTACTGCCATCATCTCCAGGCCCCGCAGCCACAAGGGGACCTTGCAAGGTCACAGCCTCTGTGAGCCCTTGTGAAGATCCTGGGCAGAGAGAAGCAGGTGCCTGAGTAGCTGCGCCCATCCCTGTGACACTGCCAGTCTGTCCTGCTGCCACCCATTAGCACAGGACAGTTATTTTACTTATCCTCCTGCCCCATCTCTGGCAGAAAATAATTATTGGTCTTTCTCATTGCACCAAGGGATTAAAAGTGGTTAACTCCATTTCCAAAGGCTTTGTTATGTTGGTTTTCCCTCGGCTGCTGCACAAGGCGATTTCCACAATGCCACTTAGGCAGCTTTTATCAGGTTGTCTTCTGGAGGTAATTGGGTTTTTCAGGAGCCTGTTTAAAATTCGTAACCCAGCCTCTTAAACAAAACAAAAACAGCAGCGGGGAAAAGATGAAGAGGCAGCACAAAACATGCAGCAGATGCAGCCTCCTGAGAGCAGTCCTGGTCCCTTGGGGCTGGCACCTGGCAGGGATGGGGACAGGGACAGGAGTCAGTGTACCAAAGTGTCAGGCTCTGGCTGGACCATCCAGTGCAGCTGCAGAGCAGAGTGAGGGTGCAGAGACCCCAGGGCCAGCCCCTGCCACCTCTGCTGTCTCTCCTGCTGGTCATTTTGTCACATTGTGCTCAGGGTGAACCTGCAGTATCCAGATCCACCCATGTTCAGCCACTGGGGATGCCAGGGCTACCACTCTGGTGGTGGGCTT